ATGCAGTGGAACAACAAATCAATGTCTCGTTCTCTCTCCCTTCTTCTCTCTAAAATAAAGAATTTTTTTTTTTTTTAAAGCGGGTAGGGGTGGAGACTTCCTTAGAGAAGAAGGCACGTTTCTGTTGAATGACTATCTTTGAGTAGTATAAATACTCTTACGACATTTTTACAATGGCCTTCTTCCTTTCCCTGTTCAGTCCGAATCCAGGATAATATCTCAGAGGTGACGTCTGGAGAAGTACTGCCATCTTGACAAGAAGACACCGAAGACAACAGAGAGAAAGAGAAAAACAGGCTATTCCTCCTAGACTAACACTTCCAGGTTCTAGCTGGATTCTCAAGGTCTAACAGAATATGAAAGGAATGTCAATTATTGTTCTCAGGGACTGCAGAGTGAGCCAGCCAGGAACAGGGCCTTGAGGAAATCTCACTTTTAAACCTGTATAGGTAGTTTTCTAAGGGATACTTTCACTTCCTCCTCTGTTATGCTTATTCAGGAGGCAAAAACTCAGAAAAAAAGCTACAGATCCAAACTTCCGGCCTCTCTCAAGTGTTTTGTATTAACTGTTCCACAGTACATACACAATCAAGTTGGTATGTTTGAATGTTTCATTTTGTTTTTTTAAAAATGTTTTAATTAAAACAAAATAATCAGCCATGCTAAACACATTGTTGTTTTTTAAAGGCCACTTTAAAAATGACAATAGAACCATGGAAATAAAATTCAACTGTTTAGGAAAGTCACAGAAGTTTGTTTTCTTCTTCTTCTTCTTCTTTTTTTCCTGGCTGTTTTTCTAAGTCTCAGGGCTGGTGCCACCTGCTGCCTGGGCTTTCTCTGAGAAACAGATCTCTCAACGGTTTGTTCCAAGCAACATCTGCATAGCTGAACAAAACCATGGGCCAGTTCCAAGGCAGGCACTATTTTCTCTATGTAGTGAACACTGAACCATACTGAATTTCTTTTTAAAGCATTTTTTTAAAAGTCTTTTTAAAGACCCAAATATATATGCATGAACTCACCCCCAATGTGTATCTTTTTTAAAATTTTGTGGTAAAACATACGTAACATAAAATTTACCATTTTAATTATTTCTCCCATATGTCTTTTAAAGTTAGTTAACAGTAAAAGGTTCATTCATTCACCGAATCAAAACTCCTTGTCACCTTTCCAGACCAGTGAAAAAATCAATACATATGGACCTAGAACAGGACTTGGCTAAGTATAGCTTGTGGGCCAAATCTGGCCCACTGCCTGTTTTTGTCTAGCCCGTGAGCTAAGAATGGTTTTTAAATCTTTAAATGGCTGAAAACAATCAAAAGAACAATTTGTGTGACATAAAAATTACATGAAATTCAAATTTCAGTGTCCATAAAGTTTTATTGGAACACAACCACACTAATTCATTTACATTTTGTCTATGGCTGTTTTGCCCTACAAAGTAAGAGTTGAATAATTGCAACAGAGAGGGTATGTGGCCCTGAAAGCCCAAATTATTGAGTTTGGCCCTTTACACAAAATATTTGCCAACACCTGACCTAGAGCCTCAGATGGGATTATAGGCTCAAACATTCAAGACTAAAGTTGGTGTATTGCCCGTTACCAAAAATCTCTAATCTGTCATATGAAGCTATTTAAAGCAATATATTTTATCTTCATTATTAATTGCTGTTGATCCAACTGTGCTAAATCATGCATAAGCATATCAATAATATCTATATTAAGTGCACCAATTTGCTGTTTATTAGTAATGAGACTAAATGGAACTTCTTTTCATGTTAAGCTTTTATAAAAGGCCTCACTGTATCTCAAACATTTAAATAGCTTTGTCTAGAGTCCAAACCAAATTTTCACAAAAAGACCAGCCTTCTTTGATACCAGGTGAGTTTTGACAGCTTTGCCTTTCTTAAAATAGTCAAAGCATAAAAGTAACTGGCATGCATGTCAGTCCACTTCATTTCTCTCAGTCCCTATGTTGCATATAGGTAATTCTACTAACATTAATGAAGTCCCCAAGGACAGGGCTCTGTACAGTGTGAAGCTCTCACTGTTAACTGAGCTCACAGGCTTTATGGCCAGATATACTACTGGCTAATGGGATGAGTTCTAGATGAGGAGTTAGAAGAGACTGAGCATCAACTATAAAATGCTGTTCACAGCATATGTAATCTGAGTTGAGAAACTCTTGCTGCATACCTGATAGCCAAATGTAGTAGAACACCCAAGCAGGTAGTTTGTCTTTGGCAGAAAACTCAAATAGCCAAAGTCTACTCAGGCTTCTCAGTTCTTCCTACCTCTTGGTTCTCCCTGCAGGTCAATAAATTCCAGACAGGAGCTCACTTTGAAAAGCCCGTCAGCCCCACGGCGCTGGCTGATTTCCTCCATGAAAAGGGAGTCTAGATTCCACCATTAACCACTATCTTCCTCCTATCAGTTGTGAAGGAAGGAGAGAATCTTAAAGAAGAATGGAGAGGAGAAGGAGATCATTTGGGGTTGACTACACACTGTAATTAGAAGTAGCATTGATGGGGAATGAGCTAACTGTTTTTATAAAGTCAGCATTCAAAAATGCAAACCACCAGTAATTTAAATATTACAAAATTGTACAGAATGTAAGTACTGAAATAATTTTTTCCATCCACAAAATTCTAGAGAAAATTACAGTATCAAAAAATATAAAATGGCAAGTTTGGCATATCCTCAGAATTAAACTTTTTTTTTTAATTGGAAAGGATTTTAAAAACTAGAGGGTAGGCTCTAGATAGGCTGTGATGCTCAAAACCATATGGTATCTTCCTAAAACTGCTTTCTGCAACTAAAGAGGAAAAGCCACAAAAGCACTGATGTACCAGGAAAGTAGAAAAAAAGAGCTGATGAGGCTCAATGAATTGGGATTTTGGGCCACTTATCATAAATCATTTCACAATAGTTATTTACTTGTCCTTATCTCAGACTCCCAAATAGAAGCACACCAACGTTTGAGGTTCAAACTATATATAAGCTGCTGCAGTTGACCCTTCTTAGGAAAGCAAAGGTGCCTAAGGAAAGGATGCCACCTTCTAACAAGTGTAAGCATAGCGCTGTCTCATTTAACACTTTTCAGAGCTATTACTCTGCCCTTTCCAGAAGGGAACCAGTTTATTTCCACCGGTACCTCTCTCTCCTTAGAGGACATTAAATCCTGACCACACAGATGGCAAAGTGGTGCTAAGGGGTTACTAGGTTACAGTTATGTTGACATATCCTAGTTCTCAGAAAGTACCCCCTTCATTCGTCACATACGGCAAACAGTAGAAGTGATCACACTTGTGTACAAGTTTTTGTAGAGGTCCCCTAGCAGGCCACCACCAATCACTCAGAAACCACTTCCTAAGCCTAAGACTTACAGTACTTGGAGACCACCCCCTTGGCCCCCCCCCACTAACCACTTCTGCTGAACTAAAGCCAAGCTTGGCCTTTTACAGGGATTAGACTAGAAGCTCAGAGCATTCTCAGGGCAAATGAGGTGTCTAGCACTTGGTGAACTGTGAAGCGCTATAAAAAGTATTATTAAAATATGTTTATTGACTGCCTTCTATATGTGGGTGTGTGCCTGCAGTATATCACTTAATCTTCACAACCCCCTGCAAGGGAGCTATCATTATTCCTCCTTTACAGATGAGGAAAATGAGGCTCAGAGAGCTAAAGGCACGGCCCAAAGTCACACCGTGAGTGACAACACCAAGTCCTCTCTCTCTCACTGATCCAAGCTGGTAAGTAAACAACGCAACTCTGAAGTTTTCTTTGAGCTGCAAAATCCTGTCTTTCCGACATCACAGTTTGCGACTTTGGGTGGAGAGCCCAGAGGGTGGTCTTCATACTCGGGCAAACAGGCACCAGCTGTTGCCTTCTTTTCCTCTAACGCCCAACTCTCAACACCCAAACAACCTGCCGAGAAATGCAACTGGGCCAGACCTCGCCTTCTCGCCTGCTCCCGGCCTTGGAAAGCCCTGCGGCACGGAAGGCTGTGTACGGAAGCTAAGCCGAGTCCTACCTTCCACCCTGGTGCAGGGCCCCTCCTCGGGAAGACCTGGACTTGGCCTGGGGAGAGGGAGACGCTATTCAAAGTGCGGGGCTACCCGGGAAACGGGGCTCTGCATCGCACCCTCAGGCGAAGCGCCCTAAGCTCTGGAGGGGAGAAGCCTCCCATCACGCCTTCCTGCCTTCCTCTCTGCGAGCCGGGGCCGGCACCGAGTCAGGGGGAAGTTCAAAGCCGCCCCGAGGGGTAGGGAGGGGGCGGTCCAGCCGAGCACGGCGGGTCGTCCCGGGACCCGGACCTGCCTTCTGCAGAGCGGGCACGTCCACTCGTTTCCTCGCCAGGCAGAAATTACAGCGTTGGGACCGAGGAGCGGGGCGCCCGCTCCTCTCCCGTCCGCACCCGCTCCTGCGCGAGGCGGCGCGGGGGTGCCCGGGCGGAGGCTGGGGTCCCGCGGGGCGTCGCTGTGGGGCGTGCGGAGGGGATCCTGCCCCTGGGAGGGGGTGTCGCGGAGTGGCTCGGGGAGGGGCGCAGCGTCTTGAGGCGGGGTGGGGGAGCGCCCCGGACCGAGGTGCGCGGCTGAGAGGCTGCAGGACGGGATCCCAGGAGGTACAGAAGCCGAGGGGGCGTCCCCGCCGGGGAGGCGCTGAAGGACTTGAGTAGGGATCCCGGGTCCTGAGACGGAGGAGACGTCCCAGCCCGGGGGCGTCGCTGAGAAGTTTGGCGAAGGGGTCTCGGGAGGTACTGAGGCAGAGAGGATTCCCAGGTCCCGAGGCAGGTGGGGACCAACCCGGCCCGGGGGCGTTGCTGAGGGGCCTGTGGGGAATCCCGGGTTCTGAGGCGGGGGTACTGGCCCGGCCCAAGGGTGCGTCGCTGAGGGGCTTGGTGAAGGAGTTCCGGAAGGTAGTGGCGAGGGGCTGGGGCCCTCAGGCGGGCCCCTCGGGCTGGTTCTGCACTGGGCCGGCGTCGGGGGTCACTCACTCACCGGGTCGGGGGCCGAGACCGGGGCTGGGTGCGGGCCGGGCCGCCAGCGTGAGCGCGGCGGCGGAGAGCAGGGCGAGGCGGGCGGCGGGCGGCGCCATGGGCCGTCAGTGCGGGGCCCCGGGGCGCGGCCCGGGGGAGAGGGGGCAGCGCGGGGAGCCGGGGGCGGCCATCGGAGCGGGACGCGGGGCTGGAACGTGGCCCCGCCCCGGCCGCCTGGCCGCCCCGCCCCGGCCCGCCCTCCCCAGCGCCGCCACCGCCCGGGCAGCCCCAGGCCCTCCCGGCTACTCTACGAGGCCCGAGAGGCGGAGCCGACTGCGCACGCCCGCTCTACCCAACCCGCGCGCCGCGCTTGCCACTCAGGCGCCAGGCCCCGCCTACATTCTCCTCCTCACCTGAGCCCGCCCCCGCGGAGCATTTTATTGGTCCGATCGAGGGGCGGGGCCAGCAGGTGAAGGGCGGGGGGTTGGGACCCCGCCCTCGAGTCCCGTAGGGGAGGTTTGGCCCGGGCTGGAGCGGGCTGGGCGCCCAGTGACCTCTGTTCCACCCTCACTCGGGTTGTGACCCAAATGCGGGCTCAACCGCAGGGATAATAATCAGAACAGCAGTTTGAAAACCGCGTATCTCATCGTAGTGGTTAAAGCAGGCTCTGGAGTCAGCCTGTCCCGGTTCATATCCCACTCGGTCACCTGCTAAGACCCTGGGCAAGTTGAAAGAGAAAAGAGCTCCCTTATTTCAATGTCCTCATCTGCTAAATGGGGGCGTGGGATAGCGACTACTCCCAAAGCGGGGGTACTAATGAGGCAATGCGTGGAAACTTTGACACACTCACAGCAGGAGCTTGGAGAACGCTGAGTTCCTTTGGGGCGGCAGACTTACTGAGCCCGGTTCCGAATCCTATCGCACGTCCTTGGTCAACTGGGGCAAGTGTGCTACTCTGTCTGAGCCTCAGTCATCTGCACAACGGGAATCATAAAAGGCCTTCACAATATTAGGTGACAGAGAAGCAAGTAAAGCGCCTGACAGAGAAAGTCCAGAAGGGGATGGGGCAATGGACTGGGGCTCACAGAACGCAGGCTTCCTTAAACTCTCGGCCCCCGCGCGCAGGCCCATTACCCTTCCCACTCCCCCGGGTTTTCCCCAGCTGCGCTCGGGGTCTGCGGTGGGCCTCCCTCCTCCCCCGCACTCCCCGAGGCAGACGAGATTTCCCTTCAGCTCCCGCCTAAAGCGCCGCGGTGACGCCCCGCGAGGCAGGTCCGGGCGGCGCGCCGGGCCCTTTCAAGTCCCTGGTCCGGGACTTGCAAGTGCGGGCCTGCGCCCGGCGCGGCGGCGAGAACATCTGCGCTTGTGTGCCGACTCGCCGCGCCCAGAGTGGGTCTGGACCGGTCCCGGCCCGCCTTTGGAGCACCGGCCGCAAAGCCCCCTCGCCACCTCGGAGCCGCCCCCTCGCCCACTCCCAGAGTCCGCCTCCGCCCATTTCACCCCCCAAGCTGTTCCCAGGGCTGGGCCTCAAAGGCACAGCTACCTCCCACGAGGTCGCTCAATCTCTGTCCCTTTCCACCCACGAGACCCAGAGCGGCGGCAAGAAGAATCTTGTCCAGTCATTGTCTTCACTGTATCATTCCCGAATTCATGAATCCTCTGGGCTTCTTATTGGAGAAGGGGGACACCCCCCCCACCACCAAGCGACATCTGGTCCCTGAAGACACACCCTCCACATCCCACCTGACTCTCACCCTCTCTTCTCCACCATTTTGCGCCCTTCCCATTTCCAAACCTCCTCCTCCGGTAGGACCTGGAACTCTTTCCCTCTAATTTGTGTCCTTGCAGGCAGGTGCAGGCGGGACACACAGAAGGAGCGTGGAATGAGAAACCATCAGCACAAAGCAGCACCCAATAAAGATGCTCCCTTCCTCCACTCAACAAACCTTCAATAAGAGGAAATGACAGGAAAGTAGATTTTGGGTGGTGAACATGCAGTAGAGTATACAGAAATGGAAATATAATGCTGTACACCTGAAATGTATGTTATTAATCAATGTCACCTCAATAAATTTAATAATTAAAAAATATTCAGTGAGGAACATGCCAACAGCAGAAACAGCACAACTTTTCATTTTAACGTAGAGAGGGCCAGCCAACCAACATAAAACTAACGTGAATTTCAGAGAGCAAAAAACACTGCAAAGACAAGAAAATGATATTGACAGAGAATGATCTGTGGACTGTTTTAAATAGAGAGTTGGGGAAAGGTTTTAGCAAAGTAGGACATGGCTGTCGACAATTTACGAGGCTCTTTTCGCACCTCATCCCAGTATTTGAGCACATAGGAATGGGCAGATAGGAGGTTCAAAATAGGTTTTTGTTTTTTTGGGTTTTTTTTTTCTTTGCCAAGTCTGGGGATTCATGCCTCATGATAGTAGCTTTGCCCTGTCCTGCCCCAATGCAGGAAGGCCACCCTGCTGCGGTGGGTACCAGCCCCATTCCTTCACTTGGCTCTCTTGGCCTGTGTACAACCTGAATGGGCTATGTGATTTGCAGAGCCCAGTGAGAAATGAAAATGTGGGGGTCCCTTGTTTAAAATGATTAAGAATTGTAAGGTGGCAACCAAAGGGCATTAAACCAAGCGTGGGGTCCTTTCAAGTTCGGGCACCTGTGTCACTACACCAGTTGCATGCCCATGAAGCTGGCTTGTATAACAGAACTCAGAAATAATGTGCAAGCCCCAGCCCCCACTGGCTGCTATGAGAAACATCCCTCTTGCCTTCTCCAGGCCTCCCTCCCCTCTTTTCCAGCTTAAAGCCCAGCACAGGTGATGGAAACAGTGCACAGAAGCTAAAAATACAGCTGAGCCAGTCTAGGTCAGGGCACTTAATGGCTCAAGGTCTTTTGCTCAGTTATGTGTTCCTGGCCCCCGGCAAGGAGCAGTCTAAGATATTTATTTCAATGCTTCACATGCCTTGGTCGGTTAGCAGCTTTGTTTCATGGAAAGAGTGAGGACGCTGGCTGTAGCCCCTGGGCCTCCAGGAAGATGTTGGTGCTTGTCTGTTTGCCTCTTGTGTTCTGTATTCGGACCCTTTGATTCCTCCTTGGGCAGCAGGATTTGCCAAGCAGCTGGGAGATCACAGCTGGTGGAGTTTGGGTGATCCTGGTATCTTTGAAACTCCAGTTGGGGTAATTTCTGCTCACATGGCAGTCATGTTGTTGTGAGCACTGGATGAGGAGCCTGGTCATAGTAATAACAATAATAGCAAACATTTATTAAGAACTCTACTAAACTCTAGGTAGGGTGCAGCGTTTGCCATTGGGTTTCACATAGTCCTCCCAATAGCACCTGTGAAGGAGACACCCTTACCACTTGCCTCATACAGAGAAGTTGCATGGTTCATCCACAGGTCATATAGTAGTGGAGCTGGGCTTTGAACCTGGGCAGTAGGGTTCTAAGACTACAATCCTAATCACTGTGGTGAATTGCATTCTTGTCCTTATAGGGTTCTGGTGACAAATGCTTACCGAGGACTCCACGACCAAGATTAGGGTGAAGTGAGTGAGGCATTCAACTGAGGCACAAAATTTCAGAAAGCCCAAAAAACTCAATTATCAAGATAAAGAAATAAGTATTATTTAATAGGGCTTAAAATATATTGAATTTATTTAATAAAGTGTTTTAATGAAATATCTTTAAAAACCCAGCCCTGACCAATGTGGCTCAGTTGGTTGGGCATCATTCCACAAAGTAAAGAGTCATCAGTTCGATCCCTGGTCAGGGCACATGCCTGGGTTGCATCTTGATCCCCAGTCAGGGTGTGTACAAGAGGTGACCGATCGATGTTTCTCTCTCGTATTGATGTTTATTTCCCTTTCTTTCTCCCTCCCTTCCCCTCTCTCTAAAAATAAGTAAATAAAATCTTTTTAAAAATCCAAATGAATGACAAAAATTCAAGAGGAACAAAATATCAACATTTGAAATAAAACAGGATTTAGATTTCTGATTTAGCCTCAGGCTCAGCTCAGCACAGTACTGTTACTGATCCTGTCTCCCAGGTTTCTGGGCCAGGCAACTAGCAATGGAAAATTCAAGAGAAGTAGTAATTTGCTTGTTCTGATGGGAGTGAAGGGAGAGAGAATTGGGTTTGAACGTGATGAGTTAGAGAGAGATGTCTGTGGGACATTCCGATGGTCATGTGAAAACTCACAGTCCGGTGGGAAGGGATAGCAAGGTGGGCAGGGCACCCTTATTTCACATACTTGGCCCATGATAGGTGAGTGTTCAGCACATATGGTCTAAATCATTGGTCCTCAGAGCTTGCATCATCGTTCAGGAATGTTTTCAAATTCTCTCATCCAAAGTTCTTCTCTTGTTTCCTAAAACTTCTACATCACAAACCTCAAGATAGGTTCCCATATGGGTGTGGATGTTTACTGCTTGGGTGCTAAAATAAAAACACCTTCTGAGAAGATTAAAAGCAACGAAACACTAGAATTTGGGAGTGGAGCAAGAAGGGAAGGGACGAGAATATAAATTGGCTCAATTTCCTCTTTATTAACTGATCCTCAAGAAAAAGAAGAGGAGCTAAGAGAAATTAAAGAGGAGAAAGGTTGGAGGAAAGGAAAAAGAAAGAAGAAACATTATAGGAGCTAAAAATACAGTGAGGAGAGTTTGGCTAAGCATCAAAGAAGGGCAGATGTGTTTCCAAATAGAAGCCGTGGTTTAGAGATGTCAGGAAGCACAGCTCCAAATGATGGGTGGAAAATAAAAGTTATTCAGACTGAGCTCAGAAGAGTAAAAAAGGTTCAATGGTGAACCTAACTGAGGAACAGGCCTCTGAGTAATATGGAAGCGCTACTGCCTCAACCCCAAGTTTGTGAATCAAGTGTTGGCACCAACAGTGGAAACTCTTGCCATGGTTTCAGGACACTGAACCAAAGAGAGTCTTTCCATCCTGACTTTGTAATTCTGAACAACCTTTGATGGAACAACCTCTATTAAAGACTAGTCACTTTCCTTAGGGTATCCTCAAGTACATGCCTCCCTTTCTGACTAGGAAAGCATGGGATGTTCTGAACCATTCCCACAACCAGGGGGAAATGTACTTCCTGTAAATATACCACTTCTGTGAAGTTGATGAATCTGACAAATGCTTAGTGAAGATGGATCATAGGAAAAGAAATGTTGAGATACTCAAGTCAGATCAGAATCATTCAAGAAGCTCATTGCTTGGCCTCATAAACCTGCGCATGAAGGGCCTGAGACGAAGTCCACATCAAATGTTGGGTTATATCACTCAGACCATGGGCAACAGGGGCTCAAGGAAGAGTCAGATGGGCAAATGAGCCACAGTATTAATAATGTTAATAAGAACATTATTTATTCAGTGCTTATTATGCGCCAAGAGCCATGCCAAGTGCTTCACATGCATCGTCCCATTTCCTCCTCCTGGTGATCCTGGAGTAGGCACTATTACTGTGTCCATTTCACAGATGAGGAAAATAAGGTTCAGAGATGTGAACTCACTTGCCAATTGAGAGATGGGTCTGGGACATCAACTCAGGCAGACTAACTCCTGAGCCCAGAATAAGTCTCACGACAAGGCTAGGACCAGAACTGGGCCCAGGTGGGGTGTGTGGATGGGCTGACAAGACGAGAGGCAAAGCGTCACAGTAACAGCTGGGGGAGAGCACAGTAAGAACAAGGGTGGGGTGGTGTACACCTTGGTTGCATCTAGCCTTTGTTGGTTGCTAGCTTTGGGGCATGGTTCTTAAGCAATTTGTGCCTCAGTTGCTTCATCTGTAGAGCAGGGATGGCAACAGTATCCAAACACATAAGATTTTGGTATAATTTCATGAAATGATGCTTGTAAATTGTCTAAAACAGTGCTTTGCCTATAATAAGCATTTAATAAATACAGATTTTCCTGACACTGGAGAAATAGCACAGGCCAACTTACACTTGGTTAGTTCTAAGGAACATGAGGGTGTCTTGTTGGGGTACAGTCAATTGATGGGACAGAAAACACAATTTTAAGGAGATTGAAGAATACGTATCAGCTGCCATCCATGTGCACAGAAGGAGATTTAGGGTGTTTCTTGGAGCCAGGGCGATGTCACTTGGTCATTAAGTGAAAGGCCTAGGAAAGTAAATACACCAGATGAGTGTCTGGAAAAAGGATGTGCGGGAGGGCCAATCTCAACACGGGGAAGGAGAGAAGAGAAACAGAAGATTTAATCCCAGGATGCCTTTCTTGCTCTGACTTTTCCCTTCTCTCCCCGCCATGCAGAGTAAAGGGAGACAGTAGTGCAAGAGCCTGGTGCCACCTGTCTGGGGTTCACTGGCTTTGAAAGGATGCTTGCTAGCCCAGTCTCCAGACGTTTGCAAACCTTTCCCAAAGACAAATCCTTTCCAACGCCCTGCTCTAAAACTGACCCACCTTTATGGAGGTGAGGCCAGGGCTCCCCGCTGAATGAGCCCTATTGTCCTCCCTAGCGTCTGTAGGTCCAGATGCCGTCTGCCTGGAGGTGGTTCTACCACGGCCTGCGGTGCGGTCTGCCTGCAGGCTTTGATTCACTCCAGGGACAACACTCGAAAAAATCAAACAGGCAACACATGTGATTCCAGGAACGCCTGCCAGACTCATACTCTGTTTTTCCATCATTTCGCTCTCCTCCCCCTCGGGAGGGAGCCTCCTTTGGCATTTTGTGTTTGAAAAATCAAAACCACCAACAGGACAAGCACCTGATAAGGAGCTAGGCATTGCCCAAGAGTTCCCAGGAAGAGGTGTCTTTGTTCTTGTTTCAAGCCCTTGACACTGCTAACAGCTCTAATTACTGCATTTGCCATGGGATGTAAAATAAAACCACATTCCAGAAACCATGTAGTCTTGGGGCGGGGTGGGGGGGGGGGGACACGAAGGGAGAGGTGCCCAGGGCTGCAGGAACGTGTTCTTTCATTTCTGGTCCCTAACCTTGGCAGCTAGTCTGAGAATTTAACAGTAACTTCTTTATGTGCACGAAGAAGGGCACTTTTGCACATGTAAGAATGCATCTCGCTACCTGTATCCACAAATCTGGTCTGCATATTTGACTACATGGCATGCAAAGCATACTTAAGAACGGTAGGAACTTTAAAGTTCACCCAAGCCATTTTGAAGGAAATAATGACTTGAGGGGTTTTTGAGGCTGTAAACACAACAAAATAGAACTTCTTCCAGCATAATTTAACTATAAAATTCAATGATGTAACACCTACCTACACCCACATCACAAAACAAAGTGACATCACAAATACTAGAGATAATGGTTCAAAACTGCCCATATATGACTGAGGCAGAGAAAGATAGATGACTAGAAATATTAAAACAAAACAAAAAAGAGAGAGAGAGAAAAGGAAAAGAAAATACGTATTTCCTACCCCTACTAAGCTAGCTAAAATAAAATTTAAGGCAACCAAGATATGGTAAGGTGATTTTATTTTTTTAAGTATTTTTAAAAGATTTTAAAAAAATGTATTTTATTTCTAAAGAGAGGGGAAGGGAGGGAGAGAGGGAGAGAAATATCAATGTGTGGTAGCCTCTCATGCACCCCCAACTGGGGACCTGGCCTGCAATCCACGCATGTGCCCTGATTGGAAATCAAACTGGTGACCCCTTGGTTTGCAGGCCAGCATTCAATCCACTGAGCCACACCAGCCAGGGCAGATTTTATTTTTTATAGATAGCATTTCTAGAAGGCCAGGTATCTGTAAATACGTGATTCTGATCTATCCAGATTGTTCTGTTCTTGGCTGCTCCAAGGAAATGGAGGCCAGCGTCATTTACATTGTGCTGTTGCCTTTATGGACCCCGGAGTGTAGTTCCCTGTTAAGCAGCTTTTCTTGGCTCATGGCAGTCTGGTTAGGAAGTGTACTCAGGGTTTGGCAGGACCTTACCTGCTGTTGTTTCTCTGAGGCAGCATGACTGAGGAGTGACTACAGCTCCTATAGGAATTGTGAGTGATCCTACCTCCCATCCTCCTCCTGCTATAGGACCTCTTAGCTTTCCAGCAAACAGGAATTGTCTTCGATTCCTCGTAAGGCTCCCTGACCCTCCACCTCTGGCCCAATATCCTTGTGACCTTGCTCACAAATGGCTTTGGTGAGCAGGAGAGAGAATGTGTAGAAAGATTCCTAAGATGGGTGTGGAAGAAATGACCTCTAAAAAGATGTTAATACTGTGCCTCCAGATTAGACCCTCTGGTCTCTGCTTGAGAACTGGTCTCTTTTGTTGTTGTTGTTGTTGTTGTTGTTCCTTTTTCCCTTCCTTGTAATTCTAGCATCCAATCTATGTGAGACGAGACCCCAGCATCCCCACCTACGGACTCCGACAGTCTATCTTACTGAACCCCAGGCTTCAGGATTGCTATGTGGATTTGCCAGCTCTCACCAACATCTGGATGGCCAGACCATGTGCAAAGCAGAATATTAATGCCCTAGAACCAGGTACCAGCTCTTGGGAAGTTGTGAAGAACCCGTTCATTGCCAGTTCATTCTCCCTGGTTAAGCTGGTGCTCAGACGACAACTGAAGGATAAATGCTGTTCGGTACCACGAAAGTTTGAAGAAGCAAAACCCTCAAAGAGATTAAAACCCAAGGACAGTTCACCAGTAAAAGCCACTCGGCGGGGTAGGATAAGACACTCCATCAGTTCCAAGAGCAAGCAGCCCATGGAGCAGCAGCCAGGCCCACCTAGGCGCAAGAGGCCTGCAAGAAGCATCACCGAGGTACACAATGGCTGGTGGTGGAGTAAATGTGATGGGGTGGGAAGAGGGAAATGTCAGCTAGAGAACACTTAATGCTTGAGAGATTTATATGAAGCGAAGCAAATCCTAAAGTTGAGGACAGGATTGTGGGGAGTGGGGGCGGGGATACAGTGGACAGTGCACCGGATCTTGGGACATGTTATTTGCACTCCACTCAGTTCTATAGGAGGACAGAGTGGCTTTCATACACACAGATGAAAGGAAGTTGACATGAAGGGAAAATAAGGATGGGAAAGGCCAAGATAAGGTTAGAGCATGCAGGCACGCACACCGGAACAGCAGAGGAGACGTGAACTTCCACATGGAGAACTTGGCATCTAGAGGCCTGATCCAAGTCCAGCTCCATCACTCATGTGGCCAGCAGAGCTCAGAATGCACCCTGGAGCTAGGATGTCGGGTTCAAATCCCAGCTTTGACTATAATTAAGGACAACGGTGGGCTTAGCCTCTTTCTGCCTTGGTTTTGTCATTTATGAAATGGGGGATAACAGCCCTTCCCTCCTAAGGTTTCATGTGGATTAAATGAGTAAATACATGCAAAGGGCTTTTGAACAGAGCCTGGCACAGACTAAATGCTTAGGATCCTGTGTGGCATTCAATAGATGACAACTGTGGTTATTGACTTTCTAGCTGTGTGGCCTTGGGCAAACAAACTCCAGTTTCCTTGCCTTTAAAGCTGTCTCCCGCTGACCTTGCAGGGTTATGGGGAACGCATGCAGTGGTACACATGAAGGAATTCAGTAAACTAGAACACGCTAGACAAATGTTGGTTGTGGCTGTAACCAAGACTCTGGGACACAAATCCCAGATAATTATTCTGAGCTCCCTTCTCAAGTTTTAGCTTTGACTTCTCTGCTTTCTTCCTGGCTAGAGTAAAGAAAGTTCAAAGGAGAAAAAAGTAACAGTCAGCCAAGATCTTGAGAACAGATATGCTGAACATGTGGCTGCCACCCAAGCACTGTGCAGGGACATTGGGACAGCAGCTTGGAAGGGCCAGGCGCTGCTTCCTGAAGCCAGAAAGAGACAGCAGTTTTCGGACACGTTAACCATCCACGGCCTCCCCACAGAGGGTTACCGGGCTCTGTACCATGCGGTGGTCGAGCCGATGCTGTGGAATCCTTCAGGGACCCCCAAGAGGTACAGCCTGGAGCTGGGCAAGGCCATCAAACAAAAGCTCTGGGAGGCTCTGTGCAGCCAGGCTGCCATTCCCGAAGGTGCTCAGAAGGACCTTATGCCAGGCAGGATGCGGCTGGAGGTCGACAAGGAGCCTGTGACCAAGAAATGGCCTAAGTTAAAGAGGGAGAAATAGAAACAGGAACTCACAGGATTAGGATATTCTCTGCTAGATATCTAAAAAATAAACACCACTTTGCATCTTCCATGTTCTCTCACAGTGCTTTACAAATTAGTAACTGCCCTCCCTGGGAGACGTGACAAATGGGTGGGTACAAGATTCATTTCAGATGGAGGTCCCCTCCACTCTCATGAGCAGGTAATCTCAAGGGCTAGATGCTTGGAGCTCCCCCCACTCCCAACAAGCCCCTTTCCCTTAGGCTTGAGGGTCTCTCAGTTCTGCAGGTAGGAAAAGTCCTAGCAGATGAACGCTGATGGTTTACATCCAGCCTATGTTCTCAATTTTTATTATCATTTTAAAAAGAGATTTTATTTATTTCAGAAGAGGGGAAAGGAGGGAGAGAGGGGGGTAGACATTTATGTGCAAGAGAAACATTGATCCATTGCCTCTCAAACCTGCCCCAACCAGGGACCAAACCCTCAACCCTGACTGGGAGTTGAACCGGCAACCTTTTGGTTTTTCAGACAACACCTAACTCACTGAGCCACGACAGCCAGAGCTGTTCTCAATTTTTAAAAGGTAGACTGCTAGGACTGATTACCATTTCGACCCCTCTACACAGGGCTGAGCAGAAAAACTATCATCACCTCAACGGCATAATCCCACTGTCTATTATGTGCTCTTACGATGCCACCTAAATCCCCAATAACATGAACTGTATGTTAGCCCGAGAGGAAATTATATGGATACTCCCATGAGCAAGCTGAAGTTTTAAGACACTGCTTCACACAAACCTCTCCTTTGTGAAATGTGTAGACCTTTATCAAACAGAGCCAGTGACAACATATAACATGTACTTGATAAAATTGTATTTTTTTTTTACAGTCATTTGTACAATTTGTTACAAAACCATAGAAGACTACAACTTGTTTTAAATCATTTTTGGTCGGCAAAAATGTAAAATCTGTGTGCAATTATCATGTATTTACAGGGCCTCATGTTAGTCATTTTCAATGATTATTCCAACAATGTCACACTTTCAACATAAGACATGGCTTAAGATAAATATATTAGTAAATAAATATTCTGAGAACATATTTCCATAAATGAAATGTGCTGCTATACATATACAGAATATACATAAGTTGTTTTCTAGCCTTTAAAACATTTTTTTAAAATGGTAATGTTGGAGAAGGAGCCCTTAGACCATTTTATTACAAAATCTTTACAGCAAAGTCTTTACAAAATATCTTTTAAGTGCTATGGGAGAAAATTAAAAAAAAAAAAACATTTTAAAATAGTGCCTTGTTAGACCAACAAATAGTTTATATAAAGAATAGAAAAAGGCAGTTCTGTTTAAAAAATAATACTCTTGATTAGTAATTATTTTTTTAGACCTTATTTTAAAAGCATTAGTCCTGCATGAACTTGAGTAGAAACTAGCAGCACAAAAGGGAGCATCTGAGCAGTGGGGCAACAGACAGGGTTTTGAAAATGGCTCGGGTTCAGAAGGGGGAAGAGACTAGTTAAAGCCAGCACCCTGGGGTCGTGTCTACAAAGAGGTGCCCTGGTGGTAGAACTCCCAACCGCTTCCCCCCCCCCCCCCCATTTGAACTGGTTCTAGCCTCTTCAGTTTACTTGGCTGTCCCACAAGAGGGCAAGGCCATGAACCACACCCAACAGTCATACTCTGGCGGGGGGTGGGGGGTGATTCTCAATGGAAAATGTGATGCTCCCAGTTTCCACAGCTATATAAGCCCCACACACCACTAAGAGGTCACTAAAAAAGGTACTTACCATTATTGGAGTCTTCCAACTCCAAAGAAGGTATTTCTTTTGATTTAAATGGTGAGGCAATAGTATAGTTGGTTACTGTATTCTGGTGACCTCCCTGTCTGATAAGTCAACCACAAATTTAAAGACAGTGGCTGATATTTAAAGTTTTGAATTTTCACTTTTCTGTTGCTACCACCCTGTAAACTATCGATATTAAATGTGCTTCTTTTGTTGTCTGTAGTTATTGCTCTTCCCAATGAAAACTGGACACATTTATTTTAATAAGTCCAGTTGAAGCCACATTCTCTACTCATCTATTCATTGCTTAAGGCTGTTGAGGAGTGGTTTTCCAGCTAGGGCTAAAGAAAGCCACTTTAGGGGTATGGTTCCAGGCAAGGAAGGTAATATGTAATCAAAGGTATTAAAAACAAACAAAACTGCAAACAATAAAAAAAACTCAACGAGAAGCTGCTTTTTGCAGTTCATGTTAAAAGCCATATCCCCACCCCCCCTTCCCCAGAACTACATAATGCAAGCTGTTGTCCTTAGCAGCTGCTAGTCCTGGCTCGAGAAATAAAGGCAGCCCAGATCACATGTCAACAGCTTAGGCGCTTCTCACACCCTCGCCAACAGGTGTGCTGGGCACAGGACTGGGGGGAGCAACCCCCAAGGGGCTGCACCTTAGAGGCTGGAGGACAAATCTTACCAAATGGCAAAAGGGTAAGTTCCTAAATGGCAAATGGCTCAATCATTTGACACTGGAATTTCCTTCTGTCAAATCCTGGCTAGAATTAAGTCAATTTCCTCATCACAGGCTGGGGTTTTTAAGAAAAAAGGATTCCAATACAGTGAGATTCTCATTCACAATGTTCTGTTCTGGACCCTGGGCTGACTACCCCAGAGCCCAACTGGAGAAGAGTGAGTACAGTCTCCTGGCAACGAAGGGTGGTCTCTATTTCGCCCCCTACAGAGGACCAGCTCCCAGGGTTCCTATTTCACAAACAGGAGCTTTTCAGGTGGCACCACATTATCTGAATAGACAAAAGTGACCAGAAGAGTTAGTAAACATGGGGCTAATGTGATTAGTTTCTTCTTTAAGAACAAGAAATACATTGGACAAAAAGGATGACAATCCCTGATCTGAAATACCTTTAAATAGATTCTCCCTTTTATAATGGAAATATCTTTTAAAAAATGGTTTGGGTTTTTAAACTCTCCCTCTCTCTCCCCAAAAAAACAAAAACAAAACAAAAACAATAAAACCACCAAAGGCTGGAAACATATACAAAAACTTGCCCTTTGGGTCTAAACTATCTGATAGTCTCTTTCTCTGTCTCATGGAGAATCAATACATAATAGTGCATTAGGTAGAAAGGATAGTAGACACGTGCAGGTGAGATGAGCAACTTCAGCTGTGAGCAGAGCTGAATAACCCTGAAGCAGTGCTTCTGTGGGAAATGGGATGGGAAATGTGTCATTCGAATGCAGCTTGGTGCAGATCCGATGGGGTCCTGGCCCTGTGCCCCCCAGGAAAGCAGCCCAAGGATGCAGCAGCTCCGGCACGCCCTCAGTCCCTAGTCCCTTCATAACGCCAAAGCTGCAAACAACATTCCCCCTGAGTGTTTGTCCCCATATACCCCGTCGAACCATTTCTGCAGCCAATGGCAGGAAGCCCAACATCATGACTGTGAACTCTCTCCTTTACCTTAGGAGGATTCCAGGAAACAGACCAAGGACACCGGGCAGAATTGTCCCTGTCACCCTGGGGCTTCTGAAGCAATGGCCTGTCCCAGCTGCCCAGTGCTGCAGACCGTCTACCCTACTCCTGGCTGTTCCCATCGGCTGCCCACAGGTGTAGCTGGAGAAGCATGGCTTCGGAGAAGACCTGAAATTTTGTACATTGGGATTTGCCATGAGAAAGAGGCAGCATTGCATTGTTCCTCAGAGTTTGTACCCATATCGACTAGCTTTACTTCAAGTTTCTGGTTCATTTTCTAAGGCAGGTGTAGCCCTGAGCTTTTCAAAGGCCTGAGCTCCCTCCAGGGAGACAACAGTATCTACACATGATGTGGTTCAATTAATGCAGCAGTGATTTTCTTTTTTCAGCAAAAGTTGGCGGTTAGGGTTCTTTAAAATATATATTTAAATAACTTTTTACATTTACATATAATATCTTAAAAAACAAAGCCGAGAACTCAATCCCACACACCTCAGAACCCCAAGCACACACACTTTACAAAACAGGAGGATAACATGTTATCAAAAAAGGCAAAGACTCAGAGAATTTTGTCTGTTGGTTTGTTAATGGGAGGGGGGGCGGTTGCCACAGGGGGCTCACATTTTGGGTTGAGAAGTAGGGCTCTCTTTATTACCACTTTTGTGTGTTTGTCAAAGCTAAAAAAAAATTTTTTTTTTCTTTTGTGAAGGAAGTCAGAGTTTGGAGTCTCTGTACAGTTCCCATTTCCAGAGTTCCTTCTGGGCTCAGGCTCCTGTGCCACCGCTGTCTGCTGGCCGAGATCTCTGTCCTGGGGGAGAGAGAACAATCATCAGGGAGGAGCCAGCACCACAGGCTTCAGGGACAACGCACAGGGGCCAGGCAAGGGACTTGGGTACCCATCCCCAGCACGTGGCAGGCTCTCAGGAAGTGACAGGTCACAGCACTAGACAAATTGTGCATATGGTAAAAGGCTCAAGCAGAGCTGCTCATTCTGTGCTGAGAACACAGTGCCTCCTAGAGAGCTGGCTTCCCTCTTCTGGACCTAGAAAACCTTCCAGAAGCCCTTAGGTAGCTTGGAAACACAATGTGCAGAGGATGTGCATCAGGCACTGGGAAGAGCAGGGAAGACGAGCTCCGCTGCACACACAGAGCTTACAGACCTCAAAGCAAAGTGATTTGCTTTTTCTGGTAATTCAAATTTCTGGACAATTCTCACAGGCTGCAAAAACTTGGGAAGGAAACAGAGGGTGTGAGAGTCACCTCGGAGGCAGCTATACAGAGACATTTAGACTGAGATCTGTGGGGAGACACGTGGCAGAGGCGCCCAGGGGCTGGAATGAGCTGGAGGAATGCTGGAGGAACAGGATGGGGGCCACCGGGGCTGCATTTTCAGGATTCTAAAGGTCATGTCAAGTCATTGAAGGGTTCTCTAGTGCAAAGACATAGACATGTTTTAAAAAGACCACGTTGGCTCCCATGTGGAATAGAAGGCAAGACCAGTGACAGGTGACAAGTCACAAGGCTACTGCCTTCAACCTGGAGAGAGGAAATGAGCCTGACTGAAGGGACAGAGGTGGGAATGAGGAGATCAATACAGAACATACGTTGGAGGTGGAACTTGTTGCAGTGCTACTCAAGAGGTGCTGGACTGCACAATTCATTATGGAGACAGAATGTTTAGAAACTTTATAGCAATCTGACAATGTCTGCTGAGCCCAGTAACAAGAATTCTGGACTTGGATTGGACATATCTTTTCTTGTTTCATTTTTCTGGTAATTCAAATTTCTGGACAATTCTCACAGATTGAGAAGCCCAGGACACAAGAGTGAGCAGGGCGAGCTCCAGGACAGATGGCGTCTGGGCTATTGAGTGAGGAACCTTGGAGAGGGGAGTGCAGAGGGAGGGATCTGAGAGGGCTGCTCTGGCCATGACAGGTTGGGGTGCTCATGTGGCATCTCAGGGGAGAGATCATGGAGGCCAAGGGCCTAATGGCCCTGGAACTCAGAGGAAGGGGTGAGTTGAGTAACGCTGAAAGTCACCAGGTACAGATGGTGTTTAAAGTCAACGGCGCAGAGGGAGTCTCTTAGAAAATGACCATGGAGAGAGAAGAGGACCCAGACTCTGGCCTACTGTCATCTGCTCTCACCTGCAGCCTCAGAGACTGTGGCACTGGACTCCTGAGTGTCCTGGGAGGCACCGGGGAAGCTGGCCCTGGTGGGCCCTGCCTCCTCCAGAGGGCAGCCAGGTGGCAGTGGAGCCCTGGGCTGGCAGCGTAGGACCCGCTCTTCTTCCTGGGTTCCCCCCAGGCCCCTGTGGGGCTTCAGGACGTCGAGGCCCAGCGTCCCACCCCAGGGGCTGAGGCCATGGGTCCCTTGGCAATCCGAGGGCAGGCCCAAGTCACAGTCCACATCCTCCGGAATGATGGGGATGCGCTGGCTCAAGTCCCGGGTCCCAGGGTGGCAGCTGGGCGGGGGCTCCTGGGCAAGCGTGTACTGCACGCTCACCGAGCAGTCCTCAGTGTAGCAGCCGCTGCCCCCTCTGCCGCCACGGGCCACCTGCTTCTCTTCATAGAAGCAGCAGGGCAGGCCCTCATATTTCACTCCATCTGTCCTGGGCAAATGGTCTGGGTGAAGGCCGTATAGGCCCTGGGGGCCTCCTGGCTGTGGCTCCACACCCGTGGGGCCACAGCCCTCACAGAGTGGAGGGCCCAGGAACAAGGTGCTGCCCCGGGCCGCTCCTGCACTAGGCTCCAGTGCGGAGGGCTGGGGCTCACAGCAGCAGGCACATGATGGCCCCTCGTGGCCCCCCTTCCAGGTCCTCCTGAGGTCTGGGGCGGCCCCAGAAGCCTCGAGCCCCACTTCTGAGGTAGAGCTGTTGGGCCCCCTGTGCTCCAGGGAGGAGTTGCTGCTGTAGTTCATCTCCAGGCTGCAGGTGGACAGCTGGTCCCCCAAGGGAGAGGCAGGGCCAGGCCAAGGCTCTCCCCGCCCAGCACCTTGACTGTGGGCTGCCGGGAGCTCCTCCGGTGGTGGGGAGCCCTCGAGGCGCACGACGGGCCCCCGACCTGAGCTGCCTGAGCCCCCGACATCACTGGTGCGACAGGGGCTCCGGCTGCGATAGATGAAGGGGTCATAGTCGCTGCTGAGGGAGCTGCGGAAGGTGGAGCAGCTCCCATACACGCCCTGGTTGCTGACCTCAGTGCAGTCTACCACCGAGTCGCTGGAAGAGCAGTGGCACTGGCCGGAGCTGCTGCTGCTGCTGCTGTCGCTGCCTGGGCAGTCTGCCAGGTAGCCACTGCACACCGAGCGGTGGCCGTGGTAGCAGCTGAAGCTGGACGTGCTGCCACTCTCCAGGTGGGAGGGTGGGGCCATGTGCACCACGGTGGGGAAGAGCAGACTACTACTGCCACTTGGGGGGAAGGCACGAGATGGGCCCCTGGGAACGAGGCTGGGTGGGGCCTGACCCTCCTGCTCCGGGTAGCTGAGGCCCTGGAAGTAGTAGTGTTGGTACATGGTCTCATACTGGGAGAAGCAAGCTGCCTTGGAGAAGCTGCGGCCGCTGAACTTGGGCCTGCGGAAAGGGTGGGCTGGGGAGTAGGCCCGGTGCTCCAGGCCACAGCGGTGAGAGGCCAGGGTGTGGTCCTGGTGGAGGGGTGGGTAGCCTCGGATGTAGGTGGGGGTCTGTGGTGAGTAGAGGCTCTGTTCCCCATGCCGGTCCATGGTCAGGAGGGTGACGGGGTTCCCGTGGGAGTCCATGCTTGTCCTTGTAGGATAGGCTGGGATGGCATTGGTCCTGTGCACACGGCCGGGGTAGTGCACCGGCAAAATCACCCTCTGCTGCCGGCTGCGTGCAAGGTTGCTGGTCTCCACGCACACAGCTCCTGGGTTTCCCTTTTGTTCTGAGGGAGGCAGAGGAAACAAAGTCAGCAGGGCTGAGCACATGGGTGCCAGGGGCTAGCAGACACATAAATCAGGGCAAAGACTGAAGCAGCAGCGTGCCTAGTCTCAGGACCCTGACCTGCTCTAAGCTGTCCCCGAACTCAGACATGCTGGCAAAGGCTGACCCACTTCTGTCTGAAAGGTGGTTACTCCCATCAGGGCTCATCCCCCACCTCCCCGCTACTCTGTGTGATAAAGGCATCACAGAAGTTTGCAAGAGGACAGAGCTATCAAGATGACAGGCATTGTCCCTCATGGAAAAACAGCTACCTGGAGTGCACCCTGCATTCCAGCCCCCTCATCCAATGCCACAGTGACGCCAAAGCATCATAACCCTGCCACTCAGTCATTGTCTCCTGTGGCCCAGGAACTCCCTAGTACCGGGCATGGGCAAGCATCATTAATGTCATTCCCTTTACAGGGACTGTAGGCCTAAGGCCTGGACAGGCCAGGAGGCTGGTTCATGGGAAAGCCAAAACTCGAACTCAAGGTAATTCTTCATGACAGGCTCCCTAAGAGTTTGGAGGCCTGGCGACCTCCAAAACCTGAGCCCCCACACCTCCAGGTCCAGAGGGAACCACATGCTATGCTCTTGCTAGGCACGTGATTCCTCAGCAACAACAGAGGAAGGTGAAAATTACCTATGATGTTGTGCCGACAATGGGGGCAGGTGTGGTGCTGCAGCAGCCAGGGGTCAACGCACTTCCTGTGAAAGCGGTGAGTACAGGGGATAACCCGCAGCTCCTGGGAAGGGAGGGAAGACAGGCTGCCTGAAGGGCGGGACCGGGGAGGGGCAGCTCTGCCTTCAGCCCCGCGTAGGTTTCCTCCTGCAGGGCCCCACTAGTACCAAAGGAGCCCTGCTCACCACGTCAGTGCCTGGAGGCTTCCTCCTACCTCCTACTCCTCCTTCCAACTTCTTCCCTCTCTAGTTACAGGCAGGCCCCATTCTCTGGAGCTAGAGCCCATGCATGGGTTCTAGGGAGAAGGAAAACAGGCCATGAGCCAGCCCACCCATAGCCCTCAATGTTAAGAGAGGAAGCACAGAGAAGCAGGCTCTTTTCTGGTCACTGGAGGATGGTACACTTCCGCGGCCCCTGAGGGAAGACCAAGGCCATGTGCTAATGCAGATACACAGCCTGGAAGTAGGAGGAGAGGGCCGGGAACACCCCAGGACCTTTGGCATCTCTGGGACGGGGGCTGCCTCTGTGTACTCCCATGGGGACAAGGAGAAAGGAAGGAGCCTGGCACTTGGGACTGACCGGTGGGGCAGCAAAGGGGCAAAGCCTGTCTGTCCTCTCCTCTGCTGGACCCTGAACACTCACCTGGGGCATGTAGTCTATAACAAAGCAGCCTACGTGGAGAGGAGGTGATGGGGTTTTCTTAGGCAGAACCACCTCTGGAGTTCCTGAGCCTAAGCACCCCAAATTTGCTAATTTTACTTTGCTTTTCCATTCTCTGACCAACTCAATACAGTAATATTCAAACTAACAACTAACACTGAGCCAGACCTTGCCAAGAGTTCTGCCTGTATTTTCTCTGCCTGGAATGCAGATCAGTCTTGGGCCCATGTCACCCAGCATAGGCATAGAAAATTAAGTCATTTGCCCAAGATCACAAAGCTAGAACCCACTTGGGCTGGGATTAGAACCCAGGAGTCTGCACTCAGAGACATGCAAGACTCTATTAATACAAATGTCTCTGCAAAATCTCATTTTTCACCCAACAGTCTACATAGCAATGGAACACTTTCATTAAGGGAGCTTCAAATGTCTGCAACTAATTCTGAAGCGGTTTACTCCCCAAATGCGCAGGTATACATGCTTCTATCTAGAAAGAGTTTAAGCAAATATGGCAGAATGTTAACAATGGGTGATTCTAGGTGAATGATACAAGATTCATTGTGACTCATGTAACTTTTCTGAAGGTTTGAAACTTTCAGAATAAAAAGCTAGAAGGATAAAAGGGGATATCATATATCCTTTGACTCTTTATAAGTAAAAACACCAAATGTTCCACACAACTTTCTAGGAGAGGTTTGTATCAAGTCATGTCTCAGACTTTTCAGAAGAGCAATTCTAAAATTAAGTCAACATGTGAGAATGTTCTCAAAATCAGACATTTTCTGGCCTCCCATATATTTCTGATCAACTTCCAAGAACACCTACACTCAGCTGGGGCCTCTGGGAGAGTGGCTCTGTGCTGTGGCCACCCCCTTCCATAGGCAAATAGCAGTGAGAATGTCTCAGGAGACCCCCTTGAGACCTAGGCATTGAAGCCCTTCTGCCCCTGCAAAGCTGTGGGAAAGGACATGGGGCCCTGCCTTTTAAGTCCTGTGTTCCTCTGCTAACCTGCTTACCCCATCCCCACCCGGGATGGGCCCAGCCTCTGCTGTTACCTCTCCGTCAATGTACTTCTCAAGGCAGATGGCACAGTCGGATGTGGAGCTGCTGCTGAGCGTGTCCAGGGCCCCACAGCTCCCCTCCCGGCGCCCCTTGTTCTTGGAGTTGAACTTTCTGGTTTCCATCTTCTCCAGAGCCTGCACAGCCAGCCTGTTCATGGAATTCTGCATGGCAGAATGTGGTCTGTGTTAGGGTCTGGCACATGTTAACAGTGGAAGTCACCCCCAGGGCCACAACCCTTGATAAATCAGGACAGACAAATGTCTCTATCAGGCCCGAAGAGGTTTTTGGGAAATCACTAAAAATTCCGACTGCCACAGCGCAGATGTGCCCTGAGAGCTCATGACATCAGCCTCGGCTTTTCCCAAGTGGTAGGACCAGCAGGGGTCTTACTGCAATTACTTTGGCTAACTCTGCAAGACCCTGCTCTATCCCAAGGGTTCCCCCTTTTACCCCAAAGAAGGTTCTGAGGGCAAATGAGACAGTGTGCATGAGGGCTCAGCACTCTGCAAATCGGATGTGCCTGATCAACACCAGCCATGGTTTTATTGCTGATGGCCCGTCAACCCTTGTGAGAACTGGGCGATTATCCCCTCAACAGATTCCCTGCCAAGGTCCACCGCTGCCCTCCCGAGACATGGCCCTTCTACCCACTTATCCTTTCATCACCCTCCACCCCCAAATCTCCGAAGGTGTAGATTTAGACTCAGTGGGTCTGGAGCAGGACCGGAGATTCTGCATTTCCATAAAGCTCCCAGGGGATACCGATGCTGATGCTGACGGCCCCCTGATCAAGGTTGCAGGGTCCCATATTAACATTTAAGCATCTCTTTGGAAAAACACCTGGCTGGCAACACCCCCAATATTTAGCCTTTGTAGGATCAGACCTTTCAGAACAGAAAAGACAGTGCTATGAGCTTTGACACAGTTTCTCTCCAATTTGCTGTTTCTAGGTCATTGGGAATGGCCCTGATTTTCACCAATGGCATCAACATTCATGGGCTGCTCTGAGGTGTTACCTGACTGCGTCGCTGTTTCAGCTTGATTTTGACAAGGAGGATGAGGCAGACCAAGGAGACCACGACAAAGAAGGCCAGGAAAATCCCCATGTCAAAGTACTCCGTGGGTTGCTGGGACAGAACACAGACACGATGAGTCACAGCTCACTCCAGCCCAGGGATCGGCGCCCGGGCTGTGCTGGCTGAGGTTGGGATAGGGCTGGGGCAGCTGGGGTGTGCTCCCCCTCATCTGCAGGGAACACCTGGGGCTCTACTAACACGCCCACGGTGCACTCTTCAGACCCAGGTAGCACCCTCCAGTGTGGCCAGGCGGGAGCCTGCAGCAGTCTCAGCCAGGCCTCCTGACAGCTAAGAGAACTCGTTCAGAAAGCCTAGCTCCCAGTGGAATAGGGCAAAGTTCGCTATAACCAGTAGGAGAGGCCCTTACGAATAAACACAAATATCACATTTTAGGGACAAAGGAATGAGTGTCATGTTTTGAGGGAACAGTGATTACTAACCATATAATTAATGGTTTACAACAACTCAGAAAATTGTACGCTGCTTCCACAAATATCAGCTTCCACTATAATGAGTCATATTTACCAAAGTGTTCTTTTTTTTCCTTTAAAAATAAGCCAGCATGTCAGTTCTTCTGCAAACTCCCTCTAGCTTTACTTCTTACCTTTTTTACTTCTTACCACATGGCTCACTGCCTCCTAAGACCTTGAAGTCACCTCATTTATGCCATGCCTTTAGCCAACAGGACTAGAGTTTTGCTAATCGACTGCTGCAGGTATGCACATATTATGTGCAGGCAAAAGAATCATCCTAGATGTGAATATCCCAATATTTGTGAGGAAGAAATACACCGTATATAGGGTATCTGTCCCAGGTTCCTAGAATCTTCAGCCTGAACTTTGGGCAGAAGATGCCAGACAAGAGTTAACGGTCAGCAGTGTCCCTTCAACTCACTTAAGAGAATCCTTAAACAATATTCATTAACAGCCCAGAGGTCCTGAACTTCGATCACTGTTGAAAGCTAACTTTTCTAGAATCGAATACCAGTTAGGAGGTTTTAACAATGCAATTGACCCTACAAGAAGAAGGTAGTACTGGCTTTTTCCTTTAGTCTAGGTCTCAGGGAAGGAGGAGCCACGGGAAGCCTGGTGCTGGGTATTCTTCCCCTTCAATTCTCTTCAGTTAGCCTTTCAGTGTGAGATGGGACAGAAGAGAAAGAAGAGGCCCAAGAAGAAACACCAGGCAGGGGAGACCAGAGAGACCTTGGCACAAATCATCTCTTTCTGGTCGGACTTTTCAAATCCCTGCTAAAGATATATGGGTGAAATCTCTCCCTAGCCTCTGGCCATTTATCTGACCTGAACCTATAAGAACCTGGGCTGCATCAGCATTTGATCAGAGAGAGGACAGGAACCAAAGGCCAAAGCCCAAAGGGAATAAAGGCTCAGGTGGCAGCTGAGAAGGTACAGGGCATGGCTGGCCAGGATGGAGGCTCACTCGAGGGGGCCGGTGCTGGATCCTTGCTCGAGCCACTTTCTGCTTGTTGACGATGTTCATCAGCTTTATGGCATCTGCACCTTTCACATACACCACCGGCCTCTTGAGTGGGTCTTCCGAGCCCTGGTTTAACTAAGGGAAAAGAGACGCTCCTGGTTAGAAGATGTGTTTATTTTAAGAAGGAGAGAAAAAGAAAGGCTGAAGGAAAAGAACATTAAATACCTGCTTGGAAATCAAACTCCTCAAGCACTACAGACTCGGAGCTCCCAGAATGCCAAGGCTAGGGATAATTTCGCTTGTTTTAGGATGGACAGGGCAGACTGAAGGCCCAGAAGAGTCTCTGGAAATGTCCCCCACATCCCAACTTTCCTGGCTCTTAACCCCTCTCCATAGTCTTGGACTATGACGTCCAAACGTGGATATCTAACGGCAGCAGGCAAGTGCGAAGGCCCCGAGATGAGGGTGACATGACCAGGACAAGCCAAGCTCCCCGAAGGCAGTGTTTCCCTTGAGGAGAATGCAGTGTTGGTGCGGCCCAAGGAGTTTACCTGGTCGATTGCTTCTGGGTTTTCAGACACATCAAAGATGACTGCAGTGGCTCCCCGCTGCACTGCTCGCTTGGCCTGGAAGAATAAAAAAGAGCAGGTCGGCACTCTGGACCTCTTACCTTTCCAAAGCTGGCCTTGGAAATCAGACCTGTATCTGAATGCAGAATCTGACATTTACCAACTTATGTGGCTTTGGGCCAAGTTACTAATTTTTCTAAGCTTCAACTTCCCATCTGTACAAACTGGGGCAATGCCACCTCTCTTAGGGTTCTCCTGAGAACCAAATGAGCTAGAATAGGTGAAGATAAATAACTGGGTACTCAACTAACCTTTGTCTCCCTTTACAACCTAAACATTAAAAATAAACTACAAACCAATAACCTGCCCAGTCAGCATAAAGGTATTTGTTTCTGTATTTTCTGCTATGAACACAGACCATTGACAACCAAAGCAAATGCCTCTGGTCCTTCTCTTGCGGTCCTTTTCTCTTCCCGTGTCACCCGGCACTGCAGTTAGAATAGCATACTGAATATTTCTGAAGGAATCTCAAAATGGTCAATTTTAATAGCACACAGGCTGAAGACCGTTGGAGATGCTGTCAGAGGGAAAAGCTACAAAAATAATTGTAAATGGGGATTTAGAGCAGTTGGCTGCCAAACCTGGCTGCACATCAAAAACCACTTGGGAAGTTTGTAAAGCAGATTTTCTGGCTCAAACCACAGAGACTGATTCAGCAGGGCTGGAGTAAGGCCCAGGAAACTGAGTTCTGAAAGTTTTCTGAGGGATTCTGATGATTCAACCACTTGGGAAAGTATTGATCAGAGAGATGAGATTAGAATGTTTTAGAAACAAGTAAGCGGTGAGATTCTTTTCGGGGGGAAAAAAGGATTCCTTTCCATCCCAATAAACCTTCTAATTTTATGTCCAGCCAAGTGGACAATGGGGTAGAAGCTACAGAAGAAAAAGACATAAGACATAACCCTTACTTTTAGGAACCTGAGTCTTGTTAGGGAAGTAAGACCTCTAAAATGGCAGGGGGCGGGGGGGGGGGGGGGTGTGCCAAAACAAAAACCAAAACCTCTTATAAGATGGGCAAATGATGGCTAGTGTTCAGAGGTCAAATGGTCTCTAGGGCCAAGGTGCCTGAGAAAGAATATAATTTGAATTCTTTCCATAAGAATAAACATTCTAGGCCCTGGCTGGATAGTTCAGTTGGTTAGAGCATTGCTCTCAGGGCACATACAAGAATCAACTAATGCATTCATTAACAAGCAGAACAACAAATGAATGTGTCTCTCTTCTCCTACCTCCCCGCTTTCTAAAATTAATAAATGAAAAAAAAAATCACTCTACATGGATGTAGTATGAGACACTGAAGTTTGATGAGAATACTGCTAGACCAGTGGCTTCACCAACCCACTAGAGGGCAGTGTTATTCCACCGTTTTTACAACAAGCCCATTCCCTGTGCTTGGTACCAAAGAAGCAGGACAGGGAAGTCCTCAGGGACACTGCAAAGTCCTCTGAAACTTAACAGGCTTGAGCACCCGAGTGCTGTGCTGCAGAAGCTGTCCTAGTTCTGCTGGGGACTCTTTCTTGTTGATTTGAGAGTCAATGTATATAAAATCTCCTCTGCCACTTGTCTATCCCACCTGATTTCACCACCACCACCACCACGCCGCCGTCAGGAGAGACCCTTAAGGAGATATTCCTGGCTCTGCCCCTGAAAAGCTGCCAACAGTGGGCCAGTCACTGAACTGTTTTCAGCTTCAGCCTCAGATTCCGCACCTGAAAAAGGACAGAGCCTATGTCATTAAGACCAAGGCCCCTTCCAATTGCCGTCCTGGAGACTCAATGACTGTATATCCAGAGCAACAGGGCAAGAGCTGGAGTTGCCCTATCACCTGCCTCCAGCAGGAGGGGACATGATGGCCCAGTAGCCTCATTTTCCTCCATAAAGCTCTTGAGGGGCAGACTCCTTTGCCTGAAGCTGACAGCTCCTGGACCCAAGTTAGCAGTACAGTAGGTGCTTGTGTTTTCTGCTCAGGGGATGGCCCAATCTTTCACATTCCCCCAAGATCTAGAAGTGCCTCGAGGAACAGCACCAAAAGCAAGGTAATAAAGAGGACCTCTCTCTCCTTCATTTGGCTCTCATTCCACAACCAAGCACATCAAACAGCACCTGGGGGGAATGTGCCTTCAGAAGCATCTTGATCGGAAGCACCCAGCACCTCCTGCTTTGATGCTGGCGCACCTGGAAAAGTCTAATGGCTGTGGGATGAAAGCCCGCAAGACTGGGGAAATGCACTGCCTTCAGCCACGTGGCTGCCTCACACTTTCAGGTTTCCCTGCTCCACAAGAACGCGGAAGCTTCAGGGCTTTGGAGGGGAGGGATGACCCATGCAGGACAGGCACTTAAAAAAAGAGTATTTTTAACAAAATCTAGAAGGTTGGCCGGTCTCCTGGTTTCTACAGTGAAGACAGTAGATGCTTAAGTCCCATTTACAGCCTGACTTCAGAAACAACTGCAGGCTCATGCGCAGGATCCAAGCACAAATATTTAGTTTGAGAAAATGATAATTCTCACACTTGACTTAACTTTAAATATTATCTTTAACGGAAGCTGCTATTAAAGTAAGGCTGTGTTTCCTGCATATAGTAGGACTGAGTAGGCTCTTACTAGGAAACTGCCTTTTAGGAGCTGGCTTAGGATTTAAAATAGGCCACAAAATAATCTGTATTTAGAAAAGCACACATTTATTATACTATTCCCAAAGCAAATTAAAAAACAGAACACTACTTGGTCACACTTTCTCCCACATCATATGTTTTCAGTTTGACTGATTACATATATTCTTTATAAACTAATCTCTGTATCTTAGATCGTTCACCATTTTATCTAGTTGAGCTTGGGCCAGACTATTTTAAAACCAATCTTAACCATAGCTGGGAGATGACCAGAAACTCTATCTTTATAATGTCAAATTCCAGAGAAAGGACGGGAAAGATGCAGCCTGGTGGATGTTGCTAGATGAAGGTCACAGGTAAACTGGGCTACAGTAGCAGAGGCCAGTTACTCTTGGACTGTGCACAGAAGGGAATGGAAAGAAGAGCATGAGGAGGGTGCAAGCAGCAGAAAATAGGTGGAGCGTCTGGGCAGGGCCTCCTGCAAGCAACCAAAGGCCTTGCCTTACTGACCTCGGCATGCCCTCCCCCGCGACCCCACCCACACAGGTATTTTCACATCCTTCATCGCCTTTGCTGCTTTGATCAGGCCAGGACAGGTCGGCACCAGCCAGCAGGTGACCAGAAGCCCAGCAGCAGAATGTGGAATAAAAGGTTGCCATGCTTCTTTATTTACCTTTCCAGGTCTGCAAGACCCGAGGCTAGACAATGCCCTCAGCCACTGAAGCAAGTATTAAAGGTGCAAACATCTGCACACTTAAGAGTTTGCAAAGTACATGTCAAGCCCTAGAAGACAGGGTCCTCCTGTGGTTGGCATGTAACTGCAGTGCAAGACTCCTATGGTTATTCAATAAGATGCTGAATGAAAGAAGGCCGGCCTGGGACCATACTCTTGGGTTATTGCTCCCTGAATGTGGATGTGGTTTTCCCCCTAAGGAAGCGCTTCTATCAATATGATTCTTGAATTTCCAGATGTGAATGGGGCATTCTGATGAGAATATTCCTGTTATTATTTTGTGGATGGGAAAACTTAGTCTAAAGACTGCTTTAGTTTCAATTAAATTCAGGAATTCCAATCAGGAATAGAGCGGCACTCTCTCGCTATGCTCAAATTTGGTTTGGGGCATGGTCCCACCCCATATTTACTTCCCGGAGGCCCTGGGCACAGACTTCATTTTTCACCTGTTGTTTATCTGTTTGTCAGGCAATGTTTGTGGTGTCCCCAGTGCCTAATCTTTATTGTAAGGAAACTTTGACAAAACAGAGCCTTAATGGGCAAGAGCTGATAAGAAGACATGTGTCTTTAACCTCTCATAGGAAGTTCTGACATATTGGGGCTCCAAGCAGACTTTTTTTTTTTGGCCTCTATTGAATATAATTTTGTATTTTGGATTGTTTTCTTTTTGCACTTACCATAAGCTTCCAACAAGTCATTAAAAATTCTTTGTAAATATTTTTAAGGCTGTGATATATCTTTTCATATACTCTACTTTACTCATACGGGCTATTCCAGATTTTTATTATAATTAATGCTACATTAAATAAATCTTGGTTTACACTTCCAATTAGGATGGAGGTCCTGGGCCAAAGAACATAAAGATTATTAAGAACATTAATAGAGTCCACATAGGATTTTAATGCCCCTCCTTGTGAACCGGCACAACTCAATTATGTGCAGTAATGACAAGATACAATGGCACAGACAGTACAAATTTATCAAGAGATTTAACTTTTGGGTAAACTGGTCTGTTGGTAAGCTGGCTAGGAGAAGGAAGTCAGTTTGTTAGTAACTGTGCATGATACTTCACATGCAGAAAGACACCCCAGAGCGAACTGAGTTGATCATATTTATCTTACTGATTCTTCAAGGTCGAGTTCTTGTGCAACCCCTCCCATAAAAGACTGACAGGTGCTTCTCCTTAGTCAAAACAGCTCTTGTTCTTCTCTGAGCTCTAATATGTCTAATAATCTCTCTTTGCTGCTTACTACTTTCTGTGATGCAATTTTCCCCCCAAAGATGGCAACTTTCAGTGTTTTTGCTGCTCACAAAAGTAGTACGTGCTCAATGTGAGAATTTTAATACTGCAAGTCCTTGAATGAAATTGTTTTTGTTCTAGCGTTGATTAGAAAAAAAATTTTGATTCCCAGCTGGGGCCGCTGTCTGTGTGGAGTCTGCATGTTCTCCCCCACTCTGTGGGAGATTTCTCCGGGGATTCCAATTTCCTCCTATATCCCGAAGATGTGCACGTGAGGTAAACTGGTGGGCCTACGCTGTCCCCATCTGAGTGAGTGTGTGTGAGAGTGCCCCACAATGGAAGGTGTCTTGTCCAGGGCGGGCTCCCACCTTGTACCCTGGGCAGGCTCTGGCCACCTGCAATCCCGACCTGGCAT